CTAGCTGTGAGCGCCTGCTGGAGGGCCCAGCTGGCCATGAGCACGTGCGCAGAGCAGCCTGGCCCGCCGTGAGCAGTTGCTGCAGCGCAGAATGGCCCAGCCAGCTGTGAGCAGGCTCTTGGCCACGTGCTCTGAGCGGCCAGCGGTCCACACTTCATTCTTTTATAAAAATGTCGATCGAGTGCTGCCCTCCAAATACCAGTTAGCATATCTGATTTACACTGTCGCATCCCTAGTGAGAATGGGGATGGAAGTCAAAATCTGGGTTTCGTTCTTGGTTCAATCACTGACTTGCTGTGTGACTTCAGACAAATTGCTCAACCTCAGTCTCTATTTCCCATCTGTGGAATAGGGCTACTTGTTTGTCCCCACTTAGCACTCGTTTAGGTAAAATAAATGGATAAAACTATGTAAAGGTCTTCTGTTGACTATAATAGGGCAGTGCAATGCATTGGTCTGTTCCAAATATATCAGAACAGTGTTTGTAGATATTTGCAGGGGAACACGCATCTGCTTGTATTTGATATAGGAAACTGCTAGATGTGTTACTGGAGGCTGGTCACTTATATTCATTTACTTTAATTTTCAGCCACTAAAGTCCTTGGCACTGTCAAATGGTTCAACGTCAGAAATGGATATGGCTTTATCAACAGGTATGTTTATTGTCAGTTATATTTGTACAGCACCATGGCTCATATTTTTAATGGATCTGTTAACTCTTTAGCTTGCTAAATCAGGCAAGATATTTTACAGGAACAGGGATGTTAAATATCAGTTAATTGAGTAGTTGAGTAACCTCATGAATTCTTACTGGTTACTTGACTATTCTATAATCCCCAGGGGCAGGGCTGGCTGGCAGCCAGTGCAATCTAGCCCCTCTCCCAAGGAGCCCCCAGCCACTCTGTGTTGCCTCTGAATCAGAAGCAGCAGCATGGGGTGCCAGGGGGGAGCTGGTCCTCTAGTGAGCCAGTTTAAAAACCAGCTCCCCTTGGGTACAAGCTGCTTATCACCCTGTGCTGCTGCTGCCTCTGATACAGGGGTGGCAGCAGCCCCTGTTGGGGGCGGGGGAGTCTGAGCTCCCAGACCCGGCGCGAGCTGGAACTGAGTCAGGCTGCCTTGCCTGCCAACCTCCTAAATAACACTTTAAATGCAGAGCCACAGCAGGGGTAGGTCCTGGACCCGTCGCAATCCTGGACTGAGACAGTCTGCTGGCCAGCTTGCTAAAAAATATACTGCTCGGGAAAGGGGGCGGGGAATATGTGTAGTCTATAGCATTAACCTATAAGCTTTGCTTGTCCGTTAATTCACTGCACATCCCTACACAGAGAGAGGGGTTTTCTGAGGTTTCCAGTATTTCCTGTTGGGTTCAAAATACTACAAGGTGGCCTGGGATGCAGCATATTAATTTGACAGCCTGATTACCATTAAGATTCCGAGTTAAAATTAGGGATGTTAACATGTACCTGTGTACATGGTTAACTGATGAGCCCGGGCTTATCAGTTAACCCTCACGGTTACATGCTCCCCTCTTGCTGCTGCCTCTGATACAGAGGCAGCACCTCAGGGTGTGGGAGAGGTATGTGCCAGCTTCTGTGGAGCCTCCTTCCCACCCATCCCACAGATAGCAGCACAGGGGCGGGGGGAGGCAGTGGTTACGCGTTTACAAAAATAAACGCATTTTAACATCCCTCGTTAAAATGAGATGATGTGTGAGGAAGTTACCGAGTTATTGAACCTTTCTGAACTTGTGTGTGGTATAGTGAGGGAACAGAATTGAGCTTTGGAGAAAGTTTGGGTAAGGGTATTCTTATTTTCTGTCTGAAGACATTCGCTTACCTTCTCCAGCTGTGACACCCAGCCCTTCGGAATCATCATCCAATCCCCCCTCCTAAACCCCAGTCCGTGTTCTGAACCATAATCCCCTGCACCAGCCTGGGAAAAGGGAGTGAGGGTGAGGGAAAGCAAGTGAGGGACAAAGAGGTGGAGGGGGCCTGGCATCTAGGAAGATGCGGAGTAGATCTTGGGTTGCCCTTAAAATTCAGAAAGTGATCTTGGGCATAAAGGTTGGAGACCCAACAGTTCTCCTAGGTCAGTATCCTGACTCTGACAATAGCCAATTTCTTGCACTGTTCTCTGAAGCAATGTAGTAGCCAATTATGGAATAACCAGTTTCCAGGGAAAGTTTCTAATCCCTGTTAGTACATGATTTACATTTTAAAATAAAAATGTGTGTATTCATATACAATTTTACCATCCTAATTGAGGAGGAGCATATTTGGGAAAAGGTGTAGTGGAGGGGGAAGGGCCCCTCAGGTTTCATGACTGTCATCCTAGCATCTTTTCACAAGAAACTGAATTAACTTAAAGTATCTGAATGTAAACAGTTGAGTGGGAGTGACTTTTTTAGTGGGGGTATTTAAGGGTTTGCACCTTCTGCATCTGTGTGCATGCACTGGATGAGAGTTCTCTCAGCTATGTTAGCCTATATCACATGCAGAATCCTATACTGGCTGGAGGAATTTTTTTTATACCGCGGATGGGCAAAGCCATTTACAAACTGTTGGGGATACCGGTAACATTTTATTTGCATATTTGTGTCATCAATATTTGTGTCATCAATATGCAAATAAATGTTACTGGTCTGCCAAAAGTCCTGGCCCCCAGAGCAGCTGTTCATGGCAGTTCTGGGGGCTGGGATACACCCCGATCCCTTCTCAGTGCCAACCCTATCCCCTGGAGTCCTCCATCCTTCCACTACCCTTTCTCCCACCTCTTCCTGTCCCCCCCATGTAAGCCACTGACCCCAGAGTTCCCTGCACCCAACCTCCTCCGGTGCCAGCCCCCCATCCCAAACACTTCAGTGCCAGCCCCTGCCTCTAGAGCCCCCTAGTGCCAGACTCCTTTTTTTGGGATCCCCACTGCACCCAACCTCCCAGTACTCCCCTGTGGCAGCCCCCAGTTCCCAATATTATCCCCATTCCCAGAGCCCCCCAGTGCCAGCCGTGCCCCTGTAGCTCCCCCACTACTAGCCCTGCCTCTAGAGCCCTCCAGTGCTAGCTCTCCACCTTGGATGCTCTAGTGCCCCCAGTGTCAGCTGTCCTGCCTCCTAGAGCTCACCCTCTGGGACTCCCCAGTGCCTGCTCTGCCTCCCAGCTGCTAGCTGAGTGCTGCTGCTTGGCTCACAGCTGCTCTAAGGCTGGTGTGCTGGGCTCCTGCAGCGCAGCAAATCGCTCTTTTGTGTCTTGGGAGACCCTGCCCCTGACTGATACTGGTTGGCTCAGAGGTGGGTCAGGGCATGCCTCTCCCAACAGCAGTGGTGGGGGAGGAGGCACTGGGCGGTATACTCAGCCCTGGCCCCCAGAACTGCTGTGGTCTGGCAGCCAGGGGTTCGTAGATTGGCACCTGGGAACCACTGGTCTAGACAATCTATTATGCCTTGCCCCTTCTGTTTGCAGCTCTCCCCTTCCCAGTGAGTATTCCTAGTCCAGGCCCGTATGCAGGAATTTCTGTGTGGGAGGAGGGGAGGGCTTTTTTTGTAAATGTGGACAGCAAGGGTGCAACCCCCTTCCCTTCCCTCCCCATAGTGCCCCAAGTAAATGTGCTCTGGCTGGCCAGGAGAAGGCTGGAGCTGATTTCCCCTCCCAGCTCCAGGAGTGAGGCCCAGCTCCACACCACGTGCAGGAGTAGAAAATCAGCCCCAGCCTTTCCTTGGCCTGGCTGGAGCCTGAGACAGGAAGGCTCGGGCAGCACATGACTCCTGCCTTTCCCCAACTGGCCGGAGTACGCTTACTTGGGGACTATGAGGGTGTGTGCGTTCACACCCTTCGCATGCACGCCCCCCACGTACGAGCCCATAGTCCTGATCTGTTTTGGGTTTCAGTGTAAGGGTAGCCCTGTTAACAGCTGTGCTCAGTCCTGTTGACCATCTCATTTGATCTCTGGGATAAATGCTGGGATCCTGAGTTGCGGGTCCGGTGGGGGTGGGATAAGGAGGAAAATATAATCTGTGTGCCTGTGTCAAGCTAAACTTTGCATGTCTGCCCATAGATTACAGGGTAGTTGTTGGCAACAGTGGAAAATCCCTGCTGTCAGGCGAAACAATACAGAGGGAATTCACAGCCAACTCCAGATGGGGAGAGAGAGAGTAGGTTTGTACTTCAGGTAGAATCCCGAGGGTGTGTCCCTATGGAGACGCCGGGAGATTTAATTCCATGCTCTTTTTCTCCTTAAAAGGGTGTGTGTACTGGTGAATTAAACCTCAGGAACTATCTCCAGTAAAACTACAGGCCTAAATAATGTCTCATGATTACATGTGTCTCTTCACATTTTTTCTACAGAAATGACACAAAAGAAGATGTGTTTGTTCATCAGGTGAGTGAGGCAATGGATAGTCTTTTTGTATTTTTTACAATGTATAAAACTTCTGCCATGTACTGTGTGTAACCAAAACAACTATTCTTGTCCATACTCTTCGCTCAGCCTGATTTTTGTCCTTAAGAGTGAGGGGGACATCCTGAATTTCTCTTAACCATTCTTATTATGTAGAATTAAAGGACTTGTCCTAGCCTATGCTCTCCCAGCTTCCTTTGTTACAGCTTCTCCTGCCTTTTCTTGCCACAGTGTGAGACAGTTGCAACCAACAATAAGCAAGAGGGAATGCACCAGGTGTGACTGGGCATGGAGTGGTAAACAAATAGCCTGCTAGTGCACATTGCATGCCTTGAACCATCATGCTTATAAAGTGTTTCCTGATGACCTCGAGCTTCTATTCTGGGAACTGAGGATCTCTGCCACTATAACTTCAGGGTTAAATGATCATCTGCTATCTGTATTTACATCACACTCATTACTATAATATCTAGGAGATGTCAGTTTTGACCAACACATTACTTGCACTCTCTGTTGGGAAACTTTTCCCAAATGCTTAAAGACAAAAAAAACTTTAAATGCCTGCTCATGGATTACATGGCTCTGGCTGCTACCATAGTCTTTCATTATAAGTGTAGACAGGGTCCGGATAGCTTCCTTTTTCAGGTCCAGTTCTTGAAGGCTGCCTCTTCTTACTCCTATGCCATCAAATGCCAGCAATGCCCCATTGACATCTCTATTGGCCAAACTGGACAGTCTCTACGGGAAAGAATTAATGGACACAAGTAAGATAACACACAGAAACCTGCTGGAGAACACTTTAACCTGCCCGGGCACTCATTAATGGTTCTCAAAGTCACGGTGTTATTTCAGGCTAATACCACAAGCCAAATACACAGGGAAGGGTTGGAACTTAACTTTATTTACAAATTCGATTTTTATTAGACACTACCTTCCACATCCTAATGACTTAACCAACCAACCAACCAATGGGCACTTAAAGAGGTGCAAATTGTTCTTATCAGACTCTTGTAACTTGAACAATCCAATTCACTATTTTTTCTCTCCTTTTTCTCTCCTCCCCCCCTTTATTTATTCTTCGATCTATACTTCTAATACTCCAGTTATCTGAAGAAGTGGGTTGTGCCCACGAAAGCTCATCATCTAATAAACCATCTTGTTAGTCTTTAAAGTGCTACATCTATTCTATATCCTGGAACCATAAGCTCCAAGTGCACAGGACTTTACCACTTAAAGCTGAAAGAATAACTCCATCAGCAATAGAAAGTTGTATCCTCTGTGTGAGCCAGCTGCTAGTTAGACAAAACACTCATGTAGCCTACATGTTAAATAATGTTTGGGGTGTGTGTGTGTGTGTGTGTGTGTGTGTGTGTGTGTGTGTGTGTAAGGAAGATCAATTTAATCATGATTTTCTACATAAAAATGCATTCTAGTGAGAATAATATGATAGATCTCAAATCCATAAAGACTACACTCAGACCACAAGACTACTGGAATATGTTGCTCAAACAGTTGTCATTTTTGTTTCTACTTTCTGGCCCTCCTTTCTCACATTTATTTCAGACTTTCTCTCCTTGTCCAGAGGTATTCTGCTCCCAACAATCTTCCATTCATTGATCTTTTTGAAACTTTTCACTTTTAGAGAGAGGTAAGGGATTGATTCAGTGTACACAAATTTGCAGTGTGGGGAAGTTACCGGACCCTGCACCCCCATCCGTAGCCAGATATGGCTCTCAGGTAGGACAGAAGAACACAGCATAGCACGGAATTGTTGTTAACACAGGAACCAAGAGCATTTAATGCCATTCTTCTTGGGGAGCAGGGACCCCTAGTCCCTGTTTTCCCCCCTTCCTGTTCTAAGTCTCCTCTGTCATCGTCCTAAAACCAGCCAGACTGACTTATCCCCCCAGGCCTTAGTCCCCAGCCTGGTGTCAGCCCCACCTCTCCCTTTGTTACCTTTCTGGGGCCCAAGGTGTTATCTACTGTCACCTGGCCCTGATGACTGCACATTCTTCCCTAGTGAGTCATGCCCAGACTCCTCCTCATCCAGGTAGTGTTGCAATGCCCAGGGAAATTGAGGCACGCGCGTACACACACTGTCATTACAGAACAGCAAGGACAGCAGAATCACATACCACCCCACAAGGCAAACAGAGTGAATACAGAGACAAATAGAATTAATACAATCCTGCTCTGTCACACTGAGGAACAATAGGGCTGATGTCTGTTGTTTTTCACATTTGTATTGTGTTTTTTTTATTAAATCATATTTGCTGTTAACAAGCATGTAATTGCTGGAGACACAAATCCACAGTTTCAGAATTGCAAAACTAAACGTCTTTGGTATCTTCTAGATTGAACACTGAGTCCCGTTGGGTAGATAGAAAGTTTAACCTAAACAATCAATACAGAAACCTCTGAAATCCCGTAAGATTGGGTCTTTAATCCATGAACTAATGGAACTCATTTACAAAACTTTTCTTAAACATAACATGAACATATTGTCTCATGATACAGAATTAGTTTATAATCCCTATTCCGTGATAAGATACATGACTCAAAGATCTGTTAATACTTTAGAAGTGTTTTTCCTCAAAGCATTTTATCAAAAAAATCTGATTTAAACAATCAGATTTTTAATTTTAAAAAATCAATTATTTTTATACACCTTTATCCAGATGTCTAATTACTCTAGAATTAAATGTCTCAATCGATAACTAGACCAGTCTGGCTGTTCTTAGACTTGGTTATGGATTGGGTGTTCTGAATTCATACTCTTTCCTTTCTCCTGTTGTCCCATCTTGCTGTTAGGAGTCTAAACGGACTTGTATTTCAAACAGTGGAGAACTCACTAACTTAAGGCAGGGCTACTCAACACCCGGCCTGTGGGCTGCATGCGGCCCATTTATTTGCGGCCTGCGGTGTGGTTTAGGCCTATGCAGGGCTCAACATGCAGCCCACAGGTAGGATCCTTTGAACATGGGTAGGAACATGTTCCACAACAGCAAGGCATCTCTCAAGTGGGGTGAGCATTGAAACACACAAGCCAATGGGCTTGCTGGAACAGACTGGTACAGGGTGTCAGTGTTTCTAGCCCCCAGAGAGGAGGTGCCGGGAGTACCCAGGCATTGTGGGAAGTGCTTTGTATTCATGCGGGTTAGTGTGAAAGAAGCTATTTGCATGTATATGCAACTACACTTAAGTTGCAGCCCTTGGCACCTGCTTTGAGTATCACTGTGGTCCCCTGATCTTTACCCTGCCTTAAGGCAATACTAGGCTTTTGGAGTCAGTATTGATTCAGTGCAAAGTAATATTGCCACTACAGTAGTCTGTTGGGAATCCCACTAAGAAAATCCAAAGTGCAATCTGAACAAGCCCCTGCTTAATTAGAGAGCTGGGAAGGAGCTCAGCTCCTCTGGGGATGGCAAATTGGGACCTGCATGAGTGAGAAGGCACGGAGTGGCAGTTAAAAGGTCCTGTCAATCACATACACAAACATCCTGCTCTGAACTGTCTTTTTTTACTTTCTAGTCACGGGTGTGATACAGAAATGATATGCTGCTATTCTTTGGCCTATGTTATGGAATACGTCAGGCACACTAATGCTGTTGCTTCCCTTGTAACAAGTATTGAGATCAGCGGATGGAAGTGCAATATAAGAGCTAGGCACTAGTGCAGGCATGTCCAAAGTCCGGCCCGGGGGCCAATTGCGGCCCGTGTTCCGGTTTAATACGGCGCCACAGGTAATTTGGCAATATCTATCTTTTATGGCCCCCAATGAATCCATATGTATTGAGATGAATACATTGTAAAATCTCAGTTAATGTCAGTTGGTCTAAATCAGTTATAAATATATTTGGACACAACATGTATACTTGGTGTTATGTTCCTGTTCATATTTTTTGAACTTAAAAGTTGACAGACAACCTTTATTACCAATAATATGTAATGTACTTTACAATGTTCCTGACATATATTTCAGCTTCCTGGATTTTTTTTTTCATCTGGCCTTCAGATATGAAAGGCAGAGTGATTTAACACCTGTTTAGATTTGTCATCCATGTGACGAAATGAAAAGTATGCCGTTTGCAATAAACTTTGCATAACATAGTTAATTTGCATTTAATTTTAATGGTTCAAAGAATGTCAGGCAAAATGGTCGGCCCTCACGCATGTTCACTTCATCAAATCTGGCCCTCTTTGAAAAAAGTTTGGACACCCCTGATGTAGATGGTATCTTTCCAACACAACATGTAGCTTTCGTGGGCACAACCCATTTCTTCAGATGACTGGAGTGGGTTGTACCCACAAAAGGTCATGATACCATCTACATGTTTTGTTAGTCTTTCAGATGCTGCAAGACTATTCATTGGTTTTTTTTTAGTCTTTTCTTTGTGGCTAGTGACTGATCCCTGCTTCTGCAGATCCCTCTCCCAAGCACTTGAAGTGTGGAGGAGGGGTTGGATTATATACCTAATCTCTTTAGGTTGACCTAGTTAAAGGGACACACCCATCCTCCACACATACCCAGTGGGAGGGAAGCAGTCAGATTTCATGATTAGGGTAGGGATTAACACTCCATTTGCTGCTGCTGGATTCTATTTATGTATACACAGACACAGCATACAGATTAACATGCTTCTTCTCTCCTTTAGACCATACATTGCTTGTTTGTATTACCGATTTCTCTCTTGTGATGGCTCTGAAGCATCATCCTCCACACATACCCAGTGGGAGGGAAGCAGTCAGATTTCATGATTAGGGTAGGGATTAACACTCCATTTGCTGCTGCTGGATTCTATTTATGTATACACAGACACAGCATACAGATTAACATGCTTCTTCTCTCCTTTAGACCATACATTGCTTGTTTGTATTACCGATTTCTCTCTTGTGATGGCTCTGAAGCAT